GTGGTGGAAGTGATGATGAACTGGTGTCCAGCCCAGATATCAAGAGACCTTGTATGCTTCCTCTTTTTCAGAACCCTTCCTCTGTCATATGATTAGGTCTAGGCTAGCCTGCTGGAGAATGAAAGACCATGTGGAAGAGAATCCAGTATTCCCAGATGAGGCCATCCAAGACAAATCTACATTTATCCAGTCCCCAAACATGTAAAAGAACCCAGCCAAGACTAGCTGAGCTCAGTCCAGGGTAATTTTTTAGGCTCTTCATACATACCAGCCAGTTGCTTTCCAAAACAATTAAAATGAAGGATAATATTATGACTAGAAGGGACCAAATAGGCATTCCTGGCTGTGGGAACAACATGGGCAAAGGAAGTTGGGAAAGTGTGGGATATGTTTCAGAGAACAGTGAGTAGTCCATTTTGACTATAGTCTATTTTGTGCTTATTGGGAAATAAACCCGGAGAAGTAGGTTAGACCTGGAGTAATATCTGCCCAAGTTAGCAGGTGTTGGGAAGCCTTTATATGCATAACATTCATTTCTCTTTACAATACCATAGGGAAGTGTTATGATTTCCAGTTACTGGAAAGAGGTCCCAAGTCAGGATTTAAATATAGACATTCCGACCCCAGAGCCTGCCTCATCCACATACTGTAAAACCATGGTGGAGAGATCCAAGGTGGAGAGAAGACTGTGAAGATACTGCAGTTGGCCAAGAAAGAAATTATGAGGGCCTGCCTTAAGGAACTGGCAGTGGAGATGGAGAAAAATGAGGAAGCACCGGTTGTGAGTGACAAGAAGAGGATGGGCTACAAGTCTAGACGTTGGATTAAGTGAATGAGCAGAAGAATGGAAGGAGCCACAGGAGAATGCTGAGCCCAGGGGACTGGGACAGTGATGGGTGTTATCATCAGATATGCAAAATGCAGAAACTGGTTCATACATGTTGATTCTGAAATGCCCTGCTTGGGGTGAACACATGGAGAACTGCAGGCAGATTGAATGAAGCACAGAATTAGCATGAGACATATGTTTGGGAGATCTGCACAGAGCTAAACCTCAATTTCCTCCTTTGTGAAATGAAGATGTTCTTCTAAAGTCTTACAAATTTTATCTAGCATGAAAACAGAATTCCTATCAAGGACTACTTTTTTCTTTTTTTTTTTTTTTTTTGCTTGTAAGTTATTTTTGTTGGTAATCAAGTGGGAAGAAATGTAATGAATTTGGACACTGTCTCAATCAAGAATACTGAATATTCTCCTATCTGCAATTTTTACTGAGAATTAAGATTTTATTACTCGTATTGATAAGCTTTTGAAAATCTAATGTTTAGTCACCATTTAAAAATTTCATTTTTTACAGGGTTTTTTTGTCCTATTTTTTGTTTTGTTTGTGAGATTCTAAATCAGAATTTTAAAAAAGGGGTGAGGGGCACCTGGGTGGCTCAGTTGGTTAAGCGTCTGCGCCTTCGGCTCAGGTCATGATCCTGGGGTCCTGGGATCCAGCCCCACATCGGGCTCCCTGCTGAGCAGGGAGCCCGCTTCTCCTTCTCCCTCTGCCTGTCATTCCCCCTGCTTGTGCTTTCTCTCTCTCTCTGTCAAATACACAAATAAAATCTTAAAATAAAAAGGGGGGGAGAAGTAGTTAATATTTATTACATACCTATCATGTGCCTGGCATCCTGAGTGTATATTTCCTCCTTAAAATACAGACTTGTGGGGAATAGGTAATTTTAACCCATTTTACAAATGAGGAGATGAGGTTTATAGGTTAAATAATTTGACTAATGTGAGGCTAATTAAGGACAGAGTTGGCAAAAGGAAGCCAAATGAGCTTTATTTTTATAGACTTCCTATTCACTGGTATTTTTATTACAATGTCGGCTAATAAAAGATGAAGTTAATAAATGTTCTCTTTCCCAGAGCAGAAGTGTTTGAGAACATTGGTTTAAGATTTATGCTCCTACTCAGAAGATTGGGTTGTGTTAATAAATGGCATGGAAGAAAGTGCCTAAATTGCAGACTGATGAGAAACAGATGTGAATCCACATCTGCCTTCTTCCATACTTGGCTGTAGCATTTGGCAACCCCCTTAACCAATCTGAGTCACCATTTTCTCAGCTGTAACATTCAGGATAACAAAAGGTCACTTACAAGGTTATTATGAGAACCAAGAAAGAAGAGAAACAGTACATGAAAGCATCTACCTTATGCCTAGCAACATACTCAATTCATAAAATGTCCTTTTTCTTTCCAAAAATATTTAGGTCCCACAATTTATCTCTGATATGTAGACTGTGTAAAGAATATTTATCATCGGGCACCTGGGTGGCTCAGTTGGTTAAGCAACTACCTTCGGCTCAGGTCATGATCCTGGAGTCCCAGGATCGAGTCCCTAATCGGGCTCTCTGCTCAGCAGGGAGTCTGCTTCTCCCTCTGACCCACTTCCCTCTCATGCTATCTCTCATTCTCTCTCTCAAATAAATAAATAAAATCTTTAAAAAAAAAGAATATTTATCATCTTCCAATTATTATGGTAATGATCAATTTTATGTAATTGGAATTAGCAGTGTATATTAATGCATTTTTTGAATTAGTGATTCTTTTAAAACCCCTGATAAGTGGGTAACTCAAAGCATTGTCATATGAAAATTAATTCATCTGCCTGGAATGAACCCATTAAAATTCACAGGTGAAATATGTTCATACACTGAGCATTCAGCACACGCAGAGAACTAGAAGTACAGACCTGTAGCTGGTTCACTGACGTGAACTCCCAGCACCATCAGCACCTCTGATTCGTTCGTGCATTACATAATAAATCTCAACTAAATGACATACACATCGAACAAAGATTTACATTCATAAGTCATTCTTCCCTTGGGCAGGAGGTGAAGCAGTTTGTAAGTAAACAAAGAATCTAGAAAGACCACCATTTTTTGCTTTTATTTTTCCAATTGTGCCTTCTCTATTTTTTCTTTTTTTTTTTAAGATTTTATTTATTTATTTGTTTGTCAGAGAGAGAGGGCACAAGCGGGGGGAGCATCAGGCAGAGGGAGAAGCAGTTCTCCGCTGAGGAACAAGCCCAGTGTGGGGCTCCATCCCTGGATCCTGGGATCATGACCTGGGCCAAAGGCAGACAGTTAACCTACTGAACTACCCAGGCATCACCTCTATTCTTTCTTCAAACGCCCTTTTTTCAGCATCGAAACAGGTACTCCCAAAGATATGTGATTAATTCATCCTCATTAAAGTGTAAATGAATGATAAAGCCTAATGTCTCCCAGGGGCATTTATTCACAACACAATTGGAAATAAGGTCCTTGGCTTAAACCAAAGGAAGGAGATTTCTAGTGATGAATGTTTACTCTGCAAAGCAACCAGAAAGAACATTTTTTGTCATAAAAGTCTTTATGTTGCTCCCCAGGTCAACTCAACAGGCCACCACCAGCACTTAGAATAGGACATGTCTATCACACATCCCAAGAGCTCCTTTATCCAATGCCCCCAAATACTTGTTTCATAAAATAGATGCAAAGGTAACACGTGCTAACTAGAGCTGGGAGGGTGTCATTCTGGTTCTGCCACCACCACTCCCACCACCACCAAACAGACCCCTGTCGTGAGCTTCCTGGGATTCTTAGCCTATGTCCTGGGAGACTGGGAGCCAGGACTGCTAAAGCTGCCAGTGTGGGCGAGAATGAGTTCATGCCTAGGACAGGCCATCGCAGGAGGAGGAAACCTGCCTCCACTATTACATACGAAGCAAGCCCTACTACTCGGAGAAGCAGTTGCCAGTAACACAGAGGACAATCACAGCACGGTACATTTTAAGCTCAGAAAGGAAAGTCCTTCCAAGACTGAACTCCATAAAATGCTGCCCACTGGAACCCCTACCTAAAGATCGGCAGAGTTTTTAACACAAAAGTGTCGGTGCTATCAGGGGGAGACCTCTGGGCTTCCCTAGTATACCTTACCTGAGATCCATATCTCCTTCGACCCAGAAGGTGAAAATGTTAGAGATGGTTCCCCCCGGGCAGCACCCCATGACGAGAACAGCAATAGCCTGGGCTGGCTTCAGAGAGAAGCTGATGGCCAGGAGATAGGCTGTGAGAGGCATGAGGCCAAACTGGCAGAGCAGCCCCACAGCAATGCCCCAGGGTCTCCTGATGTGCGCCCAGAGCTTCCGGAACTCCACAGAGCATCCCAGGGAGAACATGAGCAGGCCCATCATCACGGCTGACACCACTGTGAAAACAAGTTCGAGGTTCCCATGTACCTCCAGTCCCACAGGCAGCTCCCCCTCCGAACTGTTAGCAGTGCAGGCTGAGCTGCTGGAACAATTCACTCTCATCTCTTCATCTCCTTAATGCAGCATCACAAATGAACATCTGCCGCGCTGGCTGGGCAGGTCTCTTCTTCCACGTTTTGTAATAATGCAACCAAGTCATGCATGGAGAATCATTCTGATGGCTATTGGCCAGCCAGGTGATTCAGCCTAATCTGATCAATGTATTCATGAATGGCCTTATAAAAGTAATTATCATGGGCACGAAACATAATAAACTGCGGTAAGTAAGGCTTTCCACTTCTGTTCTTACTCACCACTGAATATTCAAGTGAAATGAGACAAGCAAATTTATTGTCAAGTGGAGTGACTGGGCTGTGTCATCAGCATCACATTGTGTTCCAGGAAAATAGGTTGAGTGCCAAGACATAATTTCTCCAAATTCAATGGGGATTTCAAAGAACCAGGATGCAATGTTTTGTGGAGAGGAAGACCAACTGGAAAAAACAAAGGCGCTAAGCCAAAGCCACTCCTCCTCGCATTAGCAAAACATTTCTGTTGAAAATATTAAAGCAGGGGCGCCTGGGTGGCTCAGTTGTTGGGCGTCTGCCTTCAGCTCAGGTCATGATCTCAGGGTCCTGGGATGGAGCCCCCCATTGGGCTTCTTGCTCAGCAGGAAGCCTGCTTCTCCCTCTGCCTGCTGCTCCCCCTGCTTGTGCTCTCTCTCTCTCTCTGTGTGTCTCTGTCAAATAAATAAATAAAATCTTTAAAAAGAAAGAGAAAATATTAAAGCAAAAGATCAGTTAAGGAAATGTTGGGAGGGAGTAAGGATCATTTCAGGAGTGCTTCAGAATTGGTCTCAGTTTTTCTTTTTTTTTTTTAGATTTTATTGATTTATTTGACAGAGAGACAGAAACGGAACACAGCAGGGGGAGTGGGAGGGAGAAGCAGGCTTCCAGCTGAGCAGGGAGCCCAAACTGGGGCTCTATCCCAGGACCCCAGGATCATGACCTGAACTGAAGGCAGATGCTTAATGACTGAGCCACCCAGGCACCCTATTTATTATTTTTTAAGTAGGCTCCATAACCAACGTGGGGCTTGAACTCATAACCCTGAGATCAGGAGTCACATGCTCTACCGACTGAGCCAGCCAGGCACCCCTCAGTTTTTCTTCTATTTCTACTAGAATTTGTATCTGAAGCCAATAATTAAATACCTGTAAGAATAATATGGTATTAAGCACCTGATTTGTTTCATCAAACGTGTGGAAACTCATTTATGTACCCAAAATAATACAAGGAAGCTGTCACTTTCTTTTGGAGAACAGAGTCGGCTTTGAGATGCCACACCCCTAGGCCTCGTGGTGAGGTCTGGGAATTCTGCAAGAGAATGTAATAAAGAGCTTGTCTTGAAGACTGGAGACAGAGTCTGAGGCCAGTCTCTGACCGCAATGGCCCAGGGGCCCTTGTGTGTGTCTTAACCACACAGACACACATTTCATTGGAAAACCAGGCAAGGAAAATATGGTTCCATGAAACTAAACCTACAAAAGAGCAGATGCCACACCCTTTCTCACAGAAAGCAGAAAGTTTATTTATGGGGCAACGGTTGGTGACAAGGCACACTTTATAAAACACCTCTACCTGTCTTAAGAGGGATATTAGCTATGCATTGTTTATTTTTGAATTAGCAAATTCTTTTCCATGACAAAGTGCTCTGAGCATGTTTGCTACATAAAAATACAAATTAAGGGGCGCCTGAGTGGCTCAGTTGGTTGAGCATCTGCCTTCGACTCAGGTCATGATCCTGGGGTCAAATGTAAAATAAAATCTAACAATTTGAGGGGCACCTGAGTGGCTCAGTCAGTTGAGCGTCCGACCCTTGGTTTTGGCTCAGGTCATGATCTCAGGGTCGTAAGATTGAGCCCACTCAGCGGGGAGTCTGCTTGAGATTCCCCCTCCCTCTTCCACTCCCCCACTAAAATAAAGAAATAAATCTTTAAAAAAAATCTGACTATTTGAAGAAAGTATAAACTGGCTTAGGCAAAGACACCTTAAAAGCAGCTCTGAAGGTAGAACCTTGCTGGAGGCCATCAGAAGTCAGCATGAAGACCTACTGCCACCAATTCTTGATTCATGCCCAAGAATAAGCCAACATTTACACCAAGCTTGGTAAGCCTGTCAGAAGACAAACCAAGGGACACCTGGGTGGCTCAGTGGTTAAGCATCTGCTTTTGGATCAGGTCATGATCCCAGGATCCTGGGATCAAGTTCTGCATGGGGCTCCCCGCTCAGCAGGGAGCCTGCTTCTCCCTCTGCCTGCCACTCCCCCTGCTTGTGCTCTCTCTCACTCTCTCTCTCTGACAAATTAATCAATAAATTAATCTTAATGTAAAATTAAATAAATTAACTAAAAATTAAATTAAATTTTAAAAATCTTAAAAAAAAAAAAGAAGATAACCCAGAACCACCTGTGCTGTATCAATGTAAAGCTAAGCAGAGAAATGGACACTTAGGAACGAGTTAGGTCTCTGAAAAGCTTTGTGTTTCCAGCTGAAGGGGGCAAAGATGTGGTTGAGCTGAGGAAGATTGGAGGAGGGAGACCAAACATTTTCTAAGCACCTACTAGGTGAGAGGGCATGCTAGGTCCTTTACACATATGTGTCTGTGTCTAGTGAAGCAGAACTTTTTTTTTTTTTTTTTACTTTAGTGAGAGAAGGTATCACATTATTTCTGTCTGGATAATGTCAAAAAGGCCTTTGGTAGACCTTCTTTGTTTTTGGAAGTCACTCAAAGGCCCTTCTTAGTTATTCAAATTTGAGTTTAATAAGAGATTTGTCATCAAGGACGATGTGATAGGAACTTTAGCTTGGTACTCAGCTCTGATAGCTGGGGAGAAGGGGGCTGCTTTGCTTAGTGGATATTAGGAGCTTCCTGAAAGCAAAGGTGACCTTGGACTCTTATCGTTTGCAATGCAGTGCTATCAGAATATCTCAGATGAATTAGGATGGTTTCAGCTGAGGTCCACTGTCAGGAAAAGATACTAAAGTCCAATTACCCACCATAAAAGCAAGGGGTGTCTGGACTGATGACAATTTCCTCTAGATCAAGTCATCCTGGCACAGATGTCACAGAACGATATAGAACACAATGACTGGAGTATGTGGATGTAATCTGAAAAGAAGTAACCTTGAGAGGCCAAGCTTCAGCACCACCATGTTGTATGCAAAGATCCGGACTAGAAGGGACAAGGCAGCAATGGGTGACAGCCCATTGGACTGGGTGGAACCAACTGATTCAAAATGTCCTGACAAAACAGCAGCCACTGAAACCAGGGCCTACCAGTGGATGCCAGGCTTTTCCCAGTTTGTCCCCATCCTGGGAAGGAAACTCCCTTGAAAGAGTAAGCCCCTAGAGTTCTTGTCAATTTATAAAGGAGATTTTAGGGGCACCTGGGTGGCTCAGTTGATTAAGTGTTGGACTCTTGACTTCAGCTCCAGGTCATGATCTCAGGGTCCTGGGATCAAGCCCCGCACTGGCCTCCATGCTAAGCGCAGAGTCTGCTTGGGATTCTCTCTCCCTCTCCCTCTATTCCCTCTCTCCGCTCATGCTCTGTCCCTCTAAAATAAATAAATAAAATCTTAAAAAAAAAATTGTAAAGGAGATTTTAAATAGGGGATCGACCCTAAATTTATTGGCATGTAAATTTATTGGATTAAATCCAAATTTATTGGATTCAAGTGATTAGAGATTTTTAAAAGACATGACCAAATTTATACCTTAAGCTAGTGAGGTAGTTCATGAGAGCCCATTCAATCTTCACATCCGTTCTAAGAGGTAACTACTATCATTGCCATGTCACAAATAAGGAAACGAAACCTACTAGGGCCATACAATTTATCCAAGGTTATTAGACAAGTAAATTAACATTAGGATTTAAATCCTAGTCTAATTCTCAGCCTATCCTCATTTCCCTGGAACACATTGATGGGAGGCAATGAAAGTAGTTGATAGCAGGATCATTCTGAAAAGACTGACAATCAGCTAAACATAGCTCAGGGATAAAACACCACAATTTGGCATAAACATGGAGAAACAAACCAACTAATCCCTAATTTCTAAGTTTATCTCATGTGCTCACAAGCTTGAAATGCACCTGAATATGTGCAACATATACGCACCTTAATTTTGAGATCCAGCTGTACAAATCACAGGAAATATTTCATGCATTTCTATTCTCTGCAAATAGAATTAGAGGTGAAAGACATCCTTCAGGAAAACCAACTAAAAAGCTGCCTCTTCTGTCTGGGAATATAAAGGCTGAAGGAAAAGTCCCAAAAGGAAAGGTAATTCAACATGGTTAAGGAATTGTTCAGCAAACTCTGAAAATCAGTATAAGGGGAAACTTCTAGATGCTTGAAGGACATAAAAAAATCCTATAGGTTCCAGGGTGCCTGGCTGGCTCAGTTGGTAGAGCATGTAACTCTTGATCTTGGGGTCTTGAGTTCAAGCCCCGTGTTGGGCATTAGAGCTTACTTTATTAAAAAGAAAAAAAATCCTATAGGTTCCAAGAGTTTAGGTAAACTCATGAGAAAGATCCAAAACAAAAGGAAATTATGTATTTAATCTAAACTAATTATTTATTATTAATTCAATCCAAATTATTTATCCAACCCAAAGGAAATCAGCAGTAAGAAAATAGACTGTTACATGACACGAGGTAAAAAACCTAATTCTCTATATTTTTTAAAGATTTTGTTTATTTGTTTGAGAAAGTGAGAGAGCAAGAGAGAGAGAGAGCATGAATGGGGTGGAAGGAGCAGAGGGAGAGGGAGAAGCAGGCTCCCCACTGAGCAGGGAGCCCGACCTTGGGCTCGATCCCCAGACTGCGGGATCATGACCTGAGCCGAAGGCAGACGATCAACCGATCAACCAACTGAGCCACCCAGTAGCTCCTCTATATATTTTTTAAGAAACCAAACCTCAGAAATAAAAATGCTGTCACCTTGCAGAAAAAAAAAAAACAGCCCAGTACTTGAACAGAAAATTCACAACAGTTAACAACCATAGGAAAAAAAAAACAACACAGAAATCAACATCACTAATAATTTTTAAGTATATTAAAATAAGATGTGTTTCCTACCACTAAGAAAACAATTTTAAGGTGACTGTCCTTTGTTGATAGAAGTTGAGTGAAAGTATATTCTTATATACTGCAGGTAGGATTGAAAATTCATATAACCTTTCAGGGAAAAGTCTGGCACTATGTACCAAATAGCCTTTGTCACTATAGTTCTAAAAAGCTGTCTTAATAAATAAGTTGCAATACTGGCAAAAATTTATTATTTGGGGCAAATGTTTCTATTTATAGTAGTATTGTTATTTATTTTTTTAGGATTATTTATTTATTTGAGAGAGAAAGTGCATACAAGCAGGGGGAGCACGAGAGGGAGAAGCAGGAAGGAACAAGAAGCTGAGCAGGAAGCCCGATGTGGGGCTCGATCCCAAGACCCCGGGATCATGAACTGAGCCAAAGGCAGACACTTAACCAACTGAGCCAGCTAGGAGCCCCAGGGCTGTTATTTATTCTTATTTATATTACCATTATTATTTATAGATGCAGAAAACTGGGAATTTAAATTCCCAAAGTGAGACTAATTTAATCATGATACAATGAGATACCATGGAGCTATTTAAAAAGTAAACATTTTGACAATGAGAAATGTTTATATTAGAAGGTAAAGCAAAAAAAAAAAAAAAACTAGATAGATATAGATAGGTATAGATAGAATGCTCCCAGCCATGTTAACCTGGCTGGCTCAGTCAGAAGAGCATGTGACTCTTGATCTTGGGGTTGTGAGTTCAAGTCCCACATTGGATGTAGAGATTACTTAATAAACAAAAACTTAAAATAATAATAAATTATTTATTATACATAATAAAACTTAAAAAAATAATAAATAATAATAACCTAAAGAGACCAAATTTGACTCCCCAAAACTTTCAGTGATTGCTTCTGTATGTAGGATTGTGGATGATTTTTTTCTTTATATGTTTTGTACTATGTAATACCTTTGAAATGGCTATGAATTACTGTTTATAATTAAGAAAAAACTGAAGAAAAAGGAACAGAGATGGACAAAGTTGTGGTTATTTCAAGCAGCTCCTAAAACTTGATAACAGCCAGATGACTCTGAGGAGCCAGACTACTAAGATGACTCAATCATTGTCTATTCTTCGGTTTTTATAAGGGAGGCTCACAAATACCAAAGCTTCCAGGTAAGAGATACCTGCAGAAAATGGAATGTAAGGGCGTGAGAAGGACTGATGGGCCAAGTCAGGACATAGAAAAGTGGGCTGACAAAGTGTTTATCCTGAAACAGCACCCACTCCACCTTCAGAATAAAATAACCGGAAGGGAAAATGAATCACCTGGAATCAACTGGAAAGACGTGTTTACCTGAGCAGGTGGCATGCTATTTATAATAGTATTTGTGGTCCTTTTCCCAACAACCTTTTCTGGCCTCAGCTCATCCGATCAGATGTTAAGATTATAACCATAAAAAAAATTAAAAACTGAAAAACTTAAAAAAAAGATTATAACCATAAATTTTCATAGACTGTTGGAGCACCTGGGTGGCTCGGCTGGCTAAGCATCTGACTCTTGGTTTCGGCTCAGGTCATGATTGGGGTCCTGGGATTGAGCCCCACACCAGGCTCTGTGCTCAGTGCAGAGTCTGCTTCAGACTTCTCTCCCCCACTCTCCCCCTCTGCTCCTCCCCCGCTCATGCTCTCACTCTCTCACTCTCAAATATCTTTAAAAATTTTTTTTCGCAGACTGTTTGAACCCTAGCATTATAAGAAAATCTTGTAATGAATAAGATTAATGGAATTTGTCAGCCATTGGAGCAAATTACTGATAACTGATTTTCTGTGATAGTAACAGTAAAACCTACTACTTATTGAGTCTTTCCTATGTACCAGATCCTGTGACAGGTCATGTACATGTGAAGGGTAGTAGAACATGCTACCCCAAAATATGCCACTTCGGCATAAGGATTATTTTGAGCAGAAGGCAACTGAGAAGAAGCAGATACAAGAGCAGCTCCCTACCCCCCTTCTATATGCCTAAAAAGAGGACATAAATTTGTAAAGGTGTCTCCCTTTCCCTCTCTACCAGGAAGGACAGAAGCTAAGCCCAAGAGACACCTTCAGACCCTACCAGCCAAGAGAAATCTACACCAGAGGAATCTACAGAACAAACCTTGCTAAAACTAGCCCTTATCTACCATTAATTCCCCCATATATTTGCCTTCCCACAATTTGCCACCCCTACAGGCTCAAAGTCCTTTTTCTTTGTTTTGTCACTTCTCTCTTGTTCTTTTAAGATGATATATAAGCCCCAGTTCTAACACCTCTTTGAGGCACTCATATCTGAGTGTTCTCCTATGTATTTGCAATGCACATGTTAATAAACTTCTTTTTTCCTCATTAATCTTTTTGTCTAGTTTACAGAGCCCCAGCTGGGAAGTCCAAGATGAAGAAGAAAAAATATATCTCAGTAATCCTCCCAACAATCCTGTCATTCAGGTACCATTATTACCCTCATTTACTCATGAGTGCAGAGAAACTTATGGAGGTTAAACAATCTGCCATGGGCTAAGCTAGGAAATGGTAAGGCAAGATCATAAGAGTCAAATCTAGAGTCAATACTATACATGAAAAATAGATGAAATAATAAAAGTTCATGAGTTCCACTTGTATAAAATATTATTCCTGCCACTCAAACTATATGTCACATCCTGGTCACTATTCTTCACCTTCCTAAACCCTTAACTCACGTGCTTTATCAGATGAGGCAACAGGTGCACAGAAAACATGTTGACTGACATTGTGAAAGAATAATAGCCATGTTGAAGAGGGGAATATCCTAATTCCCATGTCTAAACAACTCTTATTTTGAAGTAGCTACCTGATTCAAACACTCATAATCCTAAATTCAAGGAATATTTCCTAGCATTCGATGTAGGTTGTAAGCTACTTTATAGTGGCCTCCCTAAAAGAATACATAAGCAAAATAGATCCTTGACCACATAACCCAACTACCCCCCAAAGAAGAAGGGTAGGACCAGGGAAAGCCAGACACTTTTCAGTAATGCTGAAAATGGTTCCTTATATGCTTTATATACTTTTATATACTTTCAACAGAGGTTAAACCCTAAAGCCCTGGCTTGTAAAGGCTCAGAAGTGTTTTTTCTCCACCCTCCATTACTAAGCCAGAGGACATGTACCTAGAACTCTAGCCAAAATCAATCAAAATAAAGGCTGATGCTGAGCTCAAGCATCTGCATTTTACAGGAAAACCAGGTGTCAACTGCAAGCATCTGGTAAAAACTTCAGCTTTTTGATCTGACATTTTCTAGCTACTATGCCTGGAACATTTGAAGTGCTCAATTAATATTAGTTATTGTGTTGGTTATTATTATTAACATCTGTTGCATCTAAACCAGAAAAATAACAAAGTCAGTATTAAAAATAAATTCTCCTTTGCTCCTGCTTCCAATTTTCTGATTTGCTTTTCTTTTTCTTTCTTTCTCTTTTTCTTTTTGTTTCTTTCTTTTTCTTTCTTTTCTTTTCCTTTCTCTCTCTTTCTCTTTCTTCCTTTTTTCTTTCTTTCTTTTTTTTTTACCATGCAACAAAACTTTTATTAACATTTTGAACAGCTACTGAGAAAACCAGTGATTCAGCTATTACTGAAACTGGTAGTTTTTAAACTTAAATTGGGGCAAATGGCTATAGTGCAGAGCAATGCCATCATTGGGCACTATGAATTCAAGACTGAAGAATTAACAGCCACCCCTCAGATGGAGAACCAGGTGAGAGTCGACTCTTTCTGGATGTTGTAATCAGAAAGAGTACGGCCATCTTCCAGCTGCTTGCCGGCAAAGATGGGCCTCTGCTAGTCAGGGGAGATGCCCTCCTTTATCCTGGATCTTGGCCTTCACATTTTCCATGGTGTCACTGGGCTCCACCTCCAGGGTGACGGTCTTGCTGGTCAGGGTCTTCACGAAGATCTGCATTTCGACCTGTTAGCGAATGCAAGGACGCTGGATGCAATCATGTCGAGTCACGCAGACCCCAAAACACGGACACCCAACAATGGCAGCCATTCCTGAACCCTGATTTGTTTTTCAAAACCCTTTGTTATAGCTTAGAAAATTTACTTCAAATACTAAAAG